TAAAAGTCCCCCCAACATTGACGATGTCACTCCCCCAAAGACTCGACTTCCCCAGCTTCCATCAAAACATCCCAACTTCCACCTCCGACTTCCTACAACTCTTCCCGATCTTCAAAGAAGAAACCACCCCGAATAATGGCTCCCGTTTCCCCCAGTCCGGGATCTGGAAATCAGATTGTCAACATGGCCTCGCACGTGATATCAATGCATTAACGGAAGTGTTTCAATTGTGTATTCCCCGGGTGGCCCAAAATAGCCACGGAAATGTAACAAACTTCTGCTTCTGGCTAAAGATCAATAATTGTCGCGCCCCCTTTGTAAAGGTAAGCCCTCCCCCCCAGGAAAACATTAGGAACATTGAAAAATGTTGCCCCGCGCTGGGTCATAAAAAAAAATCCCCATTTCGCTTTGTTTTGTCGCAACCCTCCGAAAAACCGAATACCAAATACCGAAAATGACAAACAGACGCGGCAAATAAATAACGAGAAATGTTGTATAGGGGGCGTAATTCGTAGATCCCGGGCTCTTCGCTCTCTTTCTTTCTTCTGCCCACTTACAGTGAAACCCCCCTGGCAAGCGACAAATTAACACGCCAGGCGAAAAGTCCGGGAAATACGGGATGTGGGATGTGGGATCTGGGATATGGGAGTGTGCGATATGGGATCTGGGATAGGGGATCTGGGATACGGGAGCTTCGGGGGATAGATGTGTCGATCTATTTTAAGACTCGGGGCAGACAACTCGGTCGCCTGATCCAGTCATTCCATTTCCATCCCCAGTCGCATCCATGTAGCACCTTTATTAATTGCAGCCGACGAGACGAGCGTTTGACATGTTTAATGCGAAAATCTCGGGAGAAGCAGGGAGAAAGCGGTGGGAGAGAGTGCACTGAGAGGAAATTTGGTATTGCTTATAATTTGATAAATTAAATTTATAAGACATTATGAAAATAAAGATCGACAGTTTGCTTTCTCCATTAAAAACATGGAAATTATCAAATCAATATTGTAAAAATATCGAAAACATCAATCATTTAAATTTTAAAAATTCTGTTGAGTATACAAATATAAACATGATAAAATATCAAAACATTAAGATACATATTTTTTTGACTATGAAAGTAATTAAAAAGTAATTTTGTTTATTTTCGTAACTTAAAATACAGGCACATCAAAAAAAATAATATAATTTGTCTCTGGATCTGTTATACCTAAAAGTTTTTTAAAGCATATCTAGGTATATTTATATATCTCTTAATAATATTTTACAGCGGTTATCTACATTTTTTCTCACTGCACTGCGCTTGAAAGTCCCGCTTTTCGGATTGGGGAACATTTGTGGATCTATTTCGGTAAACAGAATGCCAGAACGTCTCTCCCCATCGCAGGCAACGTTGACATAGGCTGGAAATTCTTTTGACTCCGTCTATTTCGGTTGCCGACCAGACAACCCAGCTTTATATAGCATATATAGCCGTATAGCGCATTGCAATCTGCAGACAGCGTATTGCAGACTGAAGACTGTGGAAGACTGCAGACTTAAGAGCGAAGAAAAGACAGCTGACGCCAGGCCCGGGGGCAAAGTCGAATATGTAATGCCATTGGGGGATCTCTGGATCTTTATTCCCCGATCGAAGGGACTCTGTTCGCATGTCTGACTCGATCTCCCTTCCTTTGTTTCCTTTGTCTGGATGCCTTCTTTTGAAGGGGGAAAAAACGGAAAAAGTCGTTTTCCAGAAATTCCATTAAAACGTGGATCTTAATGAATGACTTTCCATTCAAGTTTAAAGCAAAGAATCTCTTACAAAACTACCGATTTTGAAAATAATTATTATTTTTATATTGATAAATTCCATTTTTTGTATTATACAAAACTTTCTGTTTTGAAAAAATTATTATTTTTCTATCAAACTTTTTTCAAATTTTTAAAAAATGTTTTCTGGTTGAATTCGAAATGTATTAATTATTTATAAGAACTATACAATTCTCGCCACTGCATTGCGCTTCTTAAGTGCCTTTCCTTGGTATTGCTAACCAAGATATCCCAGAGTTTGGCATCAATTATGCAACTCTGTATCGCCCACCCCTTTTCACCTCCCCCCTCACTTTTCCAAGCCACTAAGTACACCTTTTCCTTCTCCCCCACTTCTTCATTCATTTGCAATTTCCATTAAAATGTCATTGAAATTTCACTTACAAAAATTTGCCTTCAAAAACCAAACCGAAGTGGAGCAAAAATAAAAATTGAGTAGATGGAAAAACTGAACTGAGTTTTGTTTTGTGGTGGAAAAGTCTGAGTAAAACGGGGTTTGGGGTATAGTTAGGGGTAAGGGGGTAGGAGGAAAAACTTTAGCTGGCAATTCTATTGCCAAACGCATTTTGCACTTCAATTGCACGTGAAAATGAAAATGGAAGGGGTGGCTTGGTTGGGAAAGTCTGCGAGAAACTGAAAAATTCAAGCCTGTTAATATGCGTAAGTGTGTGGGGCAGGTGGGTGGTTGGGTGACTGAGTGGGTGGCCGAGTGGGTGGCTGGCATCTCTTGCGAAGAATCCTGGCGTGAAGTTGTCTCTTTATTTTTCTTCTCGGGCTTCTGCTGCTGTCATTGATATGGCATTCTGTTGCCCCGCAGACCGCCTGAGTTTTCTCCCCACCCCCTTGAATTTTCCCCAGTCCTTCTACAAGCTCACCTTCTTTTGCTGTCGTTTTGTCGCCTGTTGTTAATTGTCATTGCGTCGCTTTAAGCCGCTCAGTGGCAGGAAAATGGGAAATGGAAGGTGAGGATATGAGTGGGTGGGGGTAATCGGGGGCTGGGGACGGTGGAGAAGCGGGAGTGCCGGATAAAGTGAATCAAGAGGAAGACCAAGGAGCAGGCAAAGTCTATCAGACATACTCTTGCCAGAAGTAACCTAAAATGGCATTGCATTAAATTAAATAACCTTAAAGTATATAAATATTTGTATTTTTAAAGTTAAAGTCAAAAAACATAAAGTAAAATGAAATATAGGAATCAATTTATTTATTTACTTATTTGTTTATTATCAATAACACAAATACGCTTAGAAGAATAGTGCAAATATAATAATATTCCAGATTATAACTTTAATCAACGAACTAAAAATATTCTAAGGTATTTTAGTTTTTTTATGAAATACATTTAATATATATGAAATATATTATATATAATATTTGAGTAAGATACCAAATGATAATTAAATCAGTTTACGGATAGATTAATAGATAGATATATAAATAATAATTTAGAAATTTAATTCCTTCAACGATGTCTAAAAACATGCAATTTTAATTAATTCCTATAAAGAGCATAAATCTAAATTTTGTAATTAGTTACTTATGTTTCTTTTTTGAGTACGCTTTACTTTACTTATGTTTTATAACATATTTAAAGATTTATGTGTTGATTCAGAGATGATTTTTAGAGAATATCCTCCACTTCGGTGTGGATAGTTCTTCCCTTTGGCCGCTGTTGTTATTGCCGCTGTTGCTGTTGCTGTTTTCACGCGCGGTTAGCGCCTGTAATTGCATTGCCAAGTAAACGACGAACCGCGAACAGTGAGCGACATTCGTATGTGTCTCTCCATTCGTGTGACTTTCCATGTGTGGAACTGCACTTGAAAATAAAGTGTTAAATATTAACTAAACTATGGGAAATATAGCTAATGTAGAAAATAATCAATTTAAAGTGTTTTTTAAAAATAATAAATTAAAAATAAAATGCTAAATAAATAAGTTAACCAACAATAAACTTTAATTTTCGATCAAGAAATATCCGATTGATATAAAGTCTTTCTTTCTTTTCAATTTATAAGGACGTGATATTATGAACTATTTTTGCTACATTTCCTCTTAGTTTCTAATGATTTTTTTCATAGTTATCTTTATTTTTGGCCTGTGTACATTTAGTGCGTGTGTGTGAGCGTTGGCGTAAGTGAAATTTATTTCAACAGCCCCCGCCAGGCATTCAGCCCCAAAACTGTCGGTTGGCCAACTTAGGCGAAAAATTGAGAAGCAAGGCACACCAGCTAGCGCAGCATCAGCGGCAATAGAATGAAATGAGGCTGGCGCTGGCGAAAGGGGGTTAAGCATCGTGGAGCGGGGATATCAGGGGGATCGGGGGGTTAAATGCGCCCCAATAGGGGGCGCCATCTGCGGCACACTGGCGCCAAAGTGATGGAAACCATTCCGAATGCACAATCTCACAGCGGTTGATCTTAAAAAAGAAAGGATGCAATTTTCACAGAGAGAACGCGTTAAGGGGGTGCATAAAAGTGCCACAGCGGTTTATGGGTTAAACTTTGTATTGTGCAAAGAAGGCAAGTTCTTTGAAGTTCATAAAATCCCTTTACATGGCTCTTTTGAGATTTATTCTTGGAGGTAATAAAATAAATATATAATTCGTATATCAATTGTATATTTCTAAGGCCCAAGAAAATAATTATTATTTATGTTAATTGAGTGAAGAATTTGTAAAACGAAGGTTAAGAACCTTTTAATAGAATCTATCATTTATAGTTAGGTATTTATGTGATATTTGTTTTGGGGCTCAACTTTTTATTATCAATCGAAGCATGAAATATTTTCTGAGCTCCCCCCCATTAACCCACTGTGGCCCGGGAAAAAAATTCCCCAAAACTGAAGCTGCATCTCGTCGAGTTTCTGTTGCTGATTTTAAATTTTAATTAAAGTGTGGCTCCGACTTTTTGGCTGTGACCACTTGAGGTTCACGATTCGCGGCAAAGCAAACAATGGCCTACAAGTACGGCCACTTCTTGACACGCTCTTGCCACTCGAAAGCAAAGCCAACTATTTGGCCCGGGGGTTAAACCAAGAAAAAATATCTAAGAAAAAAAACTGCGATAGAAGAAAGGCTTTCTAAAAAACCCATATTGGCAGCCATGATGAAAGAAAGCGTCCCAATCGCGAGTCCCAAAAATCCGTCAACTCATGCTGGGCTATAAAAGTGGAGAAGATCTGGACAGCGGCACACACAGTCCGAGGGTCCGTCGTCCAGAAATGATCTACGCAATTCTAGTGCTCTGCCTGCTGGCCAGTTCTGGTCCGGCGATGGGCCAAAAGGTCGAGAAGGTCGTCAAGGTCGAAAAGGAGTCGGCTAACGAGCCAAATACCCGTCTGGCCGGCATCTATGTGAAGGATGGCAACGAGAACGGCCAGCTGAGGTTCCTGGCCTCCGGACTGACCAGCAGCAGCAGCAGCAGTTCCACCAACTCGGGACTCAATTCGGCCCTCAATCAGTACATCACCAACAAGCAGGACATGCTGGAGCAGCTGCGTCCCACTTCGGGCGCCACTGGCACGGGCATATCGACGGGCACTACTGCTGTAACGGGCACTGGCACTGGCACCAGTACTGCTGGAACTACTTCTGGTCTGGTCACGACAACAACCAATGGAGCCATCTATGTGAATCTGGGCAACTCGGGATCATCCTCGTCCTCCTCCTCCTCGTCGTCGTCCTCGAACAACGCGGCCATCAATCAGGTGATCTATGGATCATCCCCGGTCGCCGGTCTCCTGCCCCAGATCGTCGGTCAGGCGGTCTCCAGTCGAGTGCGTCCCGGCCAAAACAACAACAGGAGGCGTGTCCCCGCCCGTAGGCGTCGGGTCAACAAGAGGCGTGGCAGCATCAACAACAACAATCAGCGTCGTCGTCGGCGGGGCAACAAGCGGGGCCGGAATAAGAACAAGGCCCAGGTGATGGTTGTGCGACCGAATCGCGGCTAAAAAAAAAATAAGGAAGGAAGGAGAGCCTTCTATCCCCTAGCTAAGCTGAATTATTACTTTTTTTTTCGAAGCCAAGATATTTTTTTTTTTATATAATTATTACCATTAGTATGCGAGAAGGCAACTTAATTTATTTATTTAAATAATTGAAAGCAATTACACTGTGCAACCAGAGTTTGGTTTTATTTGGGGTTGGCAGGAAAAGGGGCTCTAATTGATTGTTGTAAACAACAAGAAAAGGAAAAAAAATAAAAGAAATAAACAACATATATATATATTGATATGCTTCATATTTGAGTATTATAATGTGCAATAGTTTCAGTACCGAAGAAAAATATTTAATTTGTTGTTCTTTATTTGATTAAATTCGTATTTATTTACTTATTTTTATATTTCAAATAATGTTATTTATTTCCACATTAATTTATTATAATATTCATATATCTTTAAAAAATAAATTATATTTAACAAGAGGATTAAGAAATTAGGCAAACAGTAAATGGCATGCTTGCAAAGCTTGCATTCCATTATTTTTTTCTACATTTCTGTAAACAACAAAATGACATTTACACTTTTACAAAATCTCTAAACTTGTGTAATCTTATAGTTAATATTTCCTTAAATCCCAGGAATGTCCACCTACCTCCAATATATTTTACAACCTTGTAGTTGGTGTAATGAACTTCTCAACGGCGACTGCGAAACCTCAAATTTGTGTAGGCCAGTGTGCTTGGGGTTGAGGCTCTAATTTATGGGCCAACTGGTGTTCATGTTCAGCAGGGCCTCTGTCGGTGTGTTCAGCAGGTGTGTGTTTGTGTGTGTGGGGTGGGGTGCCCCCGGTAGAAGCAACCCCCCGTTGGTGAGCCCCTGGTCAAGTGCAAGACAAACGGTCTCCGGTCGGCGCTGCATGCGGCGGTCAATGTCTTGATAAATGTCTGCAGGATGGCGCCCGGGGAGTTGCAGGTCGCTCGTAGGACTCCAGGTCGGAAGAACCCCCCTTTTCGCCGTCCCTGCGCCATTTCGCGCCCCCTAAATCACCGTCACGTGTCCTGGCTGTGCATTATGTGCTCATGACTGTAATGAGCCTGTAAGTGGACCTAATCAGTGTCATAATAATAGAAATTAATCACTGCAAGGCCACCGTGGATGGTGGCTGCCATGGGTGGTGGCTGAAAAGGGGGGCATGCCGCCCACCTGCAGCTGGCAAAAGTCAAAGTTGAAACTCTGAAATGCTCTGGCATTTTGCTCTTGTGCGGTTTTGTGCAGCGCTTTGGCGCACATACTTTGTAAATGTTTTGCAATGATTTGATTTGAAATTCATTTGAATTATTGCTTGCTTCCGGTTTCCGGTGCCTTCGAAATACTTTCCTGTTTCCTTTCTACCCACCACCCCTCCCGCCTAATCCCCCGCCCCCCACTTTGCCCCACCCATGGCGAGGATATGGAAGGACCCTATGATGTACGACCAACTTGGTTGGCCTTCTCTTTTGCGTTTCTCCCTGGGGAGTTTATTAAGTACTGCCAAGAATACACTCGGCATAAATAACGGACTCGGCAATACTATTGGGAATTAATTATAATAATTATAATATTAATACAAATAATATTTTAGTAATTATATAGTTTGTTGGTAAATGTTTAAAAAATCAATTATTTAGATTATTTAATAATACCGATTAAACAGAATTTTAAAGTTATTACTTTGTAATGCCATTATATGTATGTATAACCCGAAAAGTTAATAAAATAATATATGTATTCTCTTTATTCATTCCATTTATTACAGAATTTAATGATAAAAAAATTTCTCTGAAATTCTTACATTTTTTTATTTTTTGAATATTTAATTTAACAAGTGATCCCCGTTTCTCGCTGTGCCTTTGCATAGACCAAAAGGCAACTGGTGTGTGAGTGTGCGGAACTTTGTTAATATGCAAGTGAATGGACATTTCCGGTACGGACAAAACGTGCCATGTGCCAGGCCAAAAACCGAGAGCCGAGAGCCAAGGTCCTGGCCAAGCCCGCGAAACCTTTTGGGGTAGAATCATCGGTAGCTGGCGGGGATTCGGGGAACCGAGGTTACCGGTAGGTGGTTTTTGGGGAGGTGGGCTATGGGAACTCCCGGGGGGTGCACAGGTTCACAGCCCAAGGACATGTGCTGTGCTAAAAGTCCACATCACCATCCACTGCCCTTGGATTCATTCGCTGGCTCTTTGCTCTTTGCTCGGCTACATTTGGCTGCCCTATTTTAGGGATCTCATCAGCGGGTCTAAAGGCCAACTCAAGGAATTTGCATTATAAAAATTTGCATTTTCTGTTTAAATTACAATAATTCGTTTTACTTAAAAAATATTTTAAATTTTTTTCCAAAATACCAATGCAGTTTAATAAAATAACAAAAACTTTTAGGAGCCCTTAAATGTAATTTTTAAAATAATGTATTTATTTTCATCATAATTTAGCAAACCCCATTTTTTATAATATTGTAATAATAGATTTTATGAATACTCCGAGGATTAGAAAAAGTCACAACTAAGTATTCTTTTCTTACTAATTTATTTTTATAACAAAGATCAAATAAATGAGTCTATTACTTAATTATGAATTTATTTTGTATTTATTTTTACAAATATTTAATTGAGTTCTGTAATTTATATTATTGTCTTTTAAATTTTAAGTATTTATTTCACAAGTTTGTGTTTTAAAATCTAGTGTAAAATCTTAGGGCATTTAAAAATCATCCATTCGATATTAAAAGTTGGCTTTTTTCCTTTTGCCGGCTCCTTGGCTTCGCTCATGTGTAATTTTCAATTAAAATGATTTGAGTAGACAACTTTGAACGCTTCTGGCTGTGACTCTGCCACTGACTTGGCTTCTGATTTCGACTCGGATTCGGATACGGATTTTTTGGACCTGCGGGGATGGTGATGGGATGGGGATGGGGGAGTGGAAGAATGCCACAAATACTTTTCGGGGCAGAAATCATAAATCATGCAGCAGGCAAAGACACGAACCGCATTGGAAATCGACGACGGAGACCCAAACTCCGGCGTTGACACACGGACATCGGGAGTCGGCGGGGATGGGAATAGGGATATATATCCGAAAATATATACACAAATACAAATACATATATAGACATGGACGGCCGACTAAGTGGGCCACAAGTTTCGCTTCACTTTTGAAATAGTTGCAAAGTGGAAAAGTTTGGCATGCAGAGTGTCCACGTCTGTGGTCAGGAAAGGGCATAATTGTGGGGCATCCTCTCCTCCGTCGGAATAAAGCGGGGGTTTTCGGGGGGAAGGCGGCCACCGAGAGATGGGTGCGTGAGTCACGTGCCAGGAAGTCCCGGTATTGCCCCAGATAATCATGACACTTTGTGTGGGAAATTTCTGGGAAATTGCCTAAACAAATTATGTTGCGCTTATCCATCGAATAATGTCATTAGTAAATAATATCTAACATTAAGGCTAAAACAACTCATATATTAAGACGAGAAGATGGCAAGTTATAATTATTTTAAAATCAAATATTTTAAAATATGAAAAATCGACTATAATTGTATTTAATTCTTAAATCCTTTTTTATATTTATAGCCCAGATAATCATGACACTTTGAGTGGGGAATTGTTGATAAACTGTCTAAACAAATTATGATGCAATAATCCATTCTCATTTGAAAATTGCTTACATTTTGGATTTATTTTAAATATTTAAAAATATAAAAAATCGGCTAGAAAATTCTTAAATTACTAAATAATTTTTGGTGGCATTTTAGAATTGTTTTAGATAATTTGAAATATACAAAAATTATAAATGTCAAAATTATTAAATACTTTTTATATTGCTTCACACATGTACTAACAATTACTTGATTCATATCTGTTGACACTTTAGACTTTTTTTATGTTTAATATAATATTATATTAATATATATATAATATTCTCTATTTATTAAATTCTCTTTTATATTTTTAACTACGTTTTTAAGCTTATTAGTCTGCCATCTCTACCAGTTTTTCGCTTTGGCCCTTTGTTTTTGGGGCAAGTGGCAATGCAGGCAAGATGTAAGAACCGATGAAATTCTGCGGCTCCTCTTCTTTTTTTTATCCATTCTTCAGCGTTGCCTGTCGATATTTCTCGAATTCTTCGTGTCTGTTTTTTTTTCGTTTTTGTTTTTGGTATCCCTCAAACCAATGGTCAATTGACATGGCAACAACAACAATTGTGGCTTAGTTTTTTAACCTCCCCCCCCCATTATTCGATTTTTGTTGTTGTGTAAATTTCTTGTATTCCGTTGGCTTTTAATTGCCGTGACGTGTTTGTTCTACCGGTTTTTTGTTTTTTTTTTATATCGTAGCCTTGTTGTTTTTTGTGTGTTTGGTTTTTGGGTGCTTTTGGCCACTTGACGTTTGATTTACTTAGTACTTTTTCGGTTGCTCTACAAGACCAATTGTAAGCCAATTTTCGGTGGGCTTTTGGGTGGTCGGCAGGGGGGTGGGTTTAGGAGGGAGGCAAGGCCTTCACAAGTGGACAACGACCTTGTCGTTTTTTAGCTTTTTTGGCACACTTGTCAAGTGCTTTGCTGTGCAGTTGCTCACTTTTCGTTTTTTTTCGTTTGGCTCAAGTTTTTTGTAAAGTCTATTTTTCTTTGGCTTGATACATTACCGCTGATTGATTGATAAATGATTTGGCGAATTAATTGCAAAAAAAAAAAGGAACGCACATATCTTTCAAGCGTTTGATAAATGTCGCTCCACAAAATTTTTAGTTGAAAATAAAAAAAATGTCTAGCAAAAGTGTCCAAAAAAGCTTAAAGGAATTTAGATTTATGGTATTTCAAAGCGAGTTGAGTAATTTTACGGCAAAGAGCATTAATTGAATGTCATTTATGGATTTAAAAATTATTTTAAAAAAATCCAAAATATTTTAAAGGCTATGTAAAAACTTGAGTACTTAATATTCAAAAGAACTTTATTTTATAACCCTTTAATAAATTCTTGATAAACCTTTGATTTGACCTTTCCCTAATGCAAAGCTTAATTTTATATGAAAATAACACAATTAAATTTAAAATAATCCTTATTTTTTCAAAAGCTCTTTAAACAAATAAAAACAAAATATTTAAGAGAAGAGACATTTTTCAGCAAT